CCAAAATCGGTTTCGTGCCCTCAAATTTGAGCGCCTGTTGGGGCACCTCAAATTAACACTGGGGTGCCTCTAAATTGAATACTGAAAAACAAGTTCAGGGGCAGCACTTCAAATGTTGAATAAAGAGCAATAATTTCGTTTAAATGAATCATATTCATTCATTCAAAACTCTTCATTCGCAACCTTAAAATTTAATATTTATATTATTTTGCCTTACAAAAATGTCTTCCACTCGGGCATGCGTTTCTCGTGTAGCGCACCATCCTTCCCTCTGTCTAGTGTAGGCTAGAAAAATTGGCCCGTAAAATGGAGTTCAGGAGAAAAATAGTTGGGCAGTGCGGCTCTCAATGGCAATCGCGAGGGGTTTAGCCCAACTTGCAACAGTTCTCAGGAACACACACCAGTTTTGAGCGCGTTTCTTTGCAATTGTTAAAGCCCATCACTGCTTTGGTATTGCAAAATTATCCAGGCAGCACCAGTTTAACATCGTTAAAATAATTTTGTCTTTAGTGGAAATATTAGATAATTTTATATTCAATTATGAATCGTTTTTACAAAACCTTACAAAATACAATTACAATAGAATAGTTCGTAGCATACCTTAAAGTTTATCTTTTCGCTCGGACCTTTTCGTAAACTTTTTTCGCTCGCGTTTATTACACTTCTCACATTCAGGTAATTTTCACTGCAATAGACAACTTCAGTCGTATTTAAAATCCTACAAAACTTAGGGCTCCAAATGAATTAAATTCATTCGAATGAATGCGCGGGTCAGCGCGATTCGGTTTCGAGTCGGAATACGAATTTTCGCACAAATACAATATATATTTAGCTTGTGTGCTCTACTCTCGATGAACGGATGCGTTGTGGCAGACGGAAGTTTAAGATTTCAGTTGCAAAATAATTGAACTTGGTAGGAGACGTCGGCGATATGGATGAACTATCTGATAGGTCGTGCGGAACCAAGCGTTCTATAATATTTATCAAGCGACACATTTAGTGAATTTTATTTATAAATTTTTTTATCGCAACGTTCGTTACTCTGGGTTTTGACTATGAAAAGCTACAGTAACTGTGTTGAGAACAATTCTTGAACGAAATTCTTAAATATGTAGCCATTCGCTTCTCAACATTTTTATACAGAAAATTTTTCCCCATTTTTTACTACTATTCCATTTACTATTCAACATTTTTATACAGAAATTTTTTTCCTATTTTTAGCGCATTTTCTCATTTATGTAAAAATGCACTATTGTGCTCGTCATGTCCGTCCCGTCTGTCTGTCCGTCTGTCCGTCCGTCCTTCCGTCCGTGACCACGTTTTCCTCGACGAGAAAATGCGCTCTCTGTCATTCACTGCAGTGAGTACTGAGTTATATTTTTTACTACATTCCATTTACTTTCAAAGTTTTGGTACAGAATTATTTTTTTCACCGAGTGTACGTGTTCAATGCTTTTTACTTACATGTTGGTGATCATTGCCATAAAATTTATAAATTATTCTTGGCAATTACTGGAATTGCTGGCCTTGAAGGTGGCTTAATGCGCTGGCAAAGAACAGCCCCTCCCAGTTGACTTACCTCGCTTATACCGTTGTGATTGTCAATTAATTACAGTCTCATCGATTAAAAAATTAATGCAACGTCAAGTTCTTCGTTAAAACTGTCGTTTCAATGGCCTCGTGATGCTAGCAGTAAGTTCCTAATCATTTAAATGGAACAGATGAAGTTATATGTAGTTTCCATCACTCATGCTAACAATGTATACTAATATCGGGTATTCACATGACAGCGTATCTTCTCATCAATTGAATTATTGGATTTCGTTAATATGAGATAACTGACCTATCAATGTATTGTCTGAGCGAAAATAGTAATACGCTGATTTTAGCAGATAATCATGGAGTTTCTGCATTTTCTCATCTGTAAAAAACTCAGTGACCTGAGACGAATTTGATATGAACAGTCCCAGGTTTAGGACAAATTATTTTGTCTACATTTCTATACCGTCTTAAATAATTAATAGAAACTACTTTCCCTCTATCGAAAAAATCTGAAGTACACCTCCCGACAAATCGGAGCGAAAGAAGATCGCGTTCGATCCAATTTGATTCAACAAATTCGCATCCTGACTAGCATCGGAAATTAAACAGAAGTCAATTTCATCAAATCCCCATTGACATCAATCGTTTCATCAATCCAACAACAAAGATGGAGACTTTCGCAGCTACTATAAAACTTGTGAACAATGGATTCTTCAGTGGACAATCTTTCACATGAACAAATGATCTCGAATCTCTTGAGGAACAATTCGGTAGCCATTCAACCAATCACTTCTGTCATTCTGCCGGTGACACGACTGAACTGGTAATAACACTAACGTCTACTTATATAAATTAAACTAAATCTGATCACTAGAATAACCAAACACAGGAGCGTCGGATAGGAAATGGGCTTCGACAAGAGAAAATTAAAAAAAAGAAGTAATCCAAACGAGGTCCTATACCAACGCTTAATAAGCATGACTACACCTATATTGTAGCAACACAAAAATACAGAACAATACATAATATAACATGGAACAATAACTGAATATCACATAGAGCGATAACTGAATAAAACATAGAGCAATAACTGAATAGAACATAGAACAATAGCTGAATATAACATAGAGCAATAACTGAATATAACATCGAACAATAACTGAATAGAACATAGAACAATAACTGAATGTATCATAGAGCAATAACTGAATTAGAACATAGAACAATAACTGAATAGAACATTGAACAATAACTAAATAGAACATAGAACAATAACTGAATGTATCATAGAGCAATAATTGATTAGAACATAGAACAATAACTGAATAAAATATAGAACAATAACTGAATATAACATAGAGCAATAACTGAATAGAGCATAGAACAATAACTGGATATAACATAGAACAATAACTGAATATAACATAGAACAATAACTGAATAGAACATAGATCAATAACTGAATAGAACATAGAACAATAACTGAATAGAACATAGAGCAGTAACTGAATAGAACATAGAACAATAACTGAATTAGAACATAGAGCAATAACTTATTATCCAAAATTATCATAAATTACAACATACAAAAATTTTTTTTTCTCAAAATGATTATTGATTTTATTGAGATTCTGTGTGTGAGGAGGATAGATTCATTGGTTACTAGATTTTGTAAGCCATATCCTGCTCTTGGTAGGAGCTATCACACTCTTAAATCATTTTCTCAGTTGTTGCCAGGTCTCTGTGTTGTAAACTTTGGTTTTGTAAGTATTGAAGGATCAGTATGATCTAATTCTTTTTTTCCTCCCATCCTTGGCGTACCGAGTCGTTGATTGCTTTGGTACAGTAAAGTTCTTAAGGCGTCCAGTGTAAGTAGTGATGCCATTATTCTTGCATTTCTCCTGCCGTTTCCTTCTGGCAGAGAAATGACAGATTTTATTCTATTTGTCAGCACCCAATGTTGTAACGTCTGAAATATTCTCCATTCTTAGCTCTTGGTGATCCATTGTCAACTATATTCACATGAAGTTATGAAGCTTACATAACTCAAAATAAATTTCATAATGCCAACATGTTGAAATTTCTTGTTTTTGATGAAAAAATTATAAATTTGATATGCCAATTCCTGCTTAAATGCTAATTTTAATCTAATGTTTGTTGAATTAATTTAATTGAGACCACATTTTGCACGAGATTTATCATTTAAGCTCTTGCTTTGCAAGTCATTCCTGTTGTTCCAGGTGTTTGCGACCATTATTATTAATGATAAATTAAAATTAGTTAGATGTGTTTTGGTCAATTGAAATTTTTTATTTTTTGATGCAATTATTGTCAGAATTTTTCATGGTAATGCTAAAACGTAATTTCATGAGGGTACAATGTGATGTAAAATCAGTAAAAATAATTTTGACCCACAATCTCTGCTTCAATCTTTGACAACAAAGCCATACTTCATCTATGCTATTCCTTGAGGTGGGGTAGAATTCTGTATTTGACTTGTGTCGCCAATCTCAGCCAATTTTTTCTGGTCAACTTTGTTGCATCTTTGTTTCTTTATCTTGCAAGGGCAGTTGTTCATTTACTATTCAGCCTTAACTGCATGTTTAAAATTTGTGACCTTGAAAATTTGGTGGCTATGATTACAATTCTATCTACATATGTACCAGATTACTCTGCCTCACTCATAGCTTCCTTAGATGCTTCACCCATGTCATGTATTTATTGTTGAGTAAATTCCTCACATGTTACTGCCGTCTCCTTCATGATCAGCTTTTCCATTAAAAGAGTGCAGTGGTGTTTCTTTCCTAAAACATTTTATTATGCATTGCTTTAGTCTTGAAACTTGAGTGTGTCTGTACCCTTCTCACCAGGTTGGATTTGCCTTCCTGTGATATCTTAAGTCATATAATTAAATTTTATCTGATCAAGCATGAAATATTTTCTAATCATCTCTTTGTAACAATAATTATTAACCCACATCATGGCTCCTTGATAAACTGTCCCTAGATCAGTTCTAATATAGTTTTAGCCCTGTTATCTTGACATACCTGATATACTGCAACTGTCACAAAGTCAGATAGCATTTCAAATAATGTGATGAATAACCTGTCACAACAAAATTTCATTCCCATCACACTATTTCTTATTGTAAATTAAAGTTCATTGTTAATTAAATGACCTCATTCATTGAGCTCTGCATTTCTTAAAACTGATTTTTGTTCTCACTCCCCATGTTTTGCTGTCACTACCATTGCTGGTGGAACCTACTTTTACTGCATCTGCTAATGGATTATTTCCTGGCAACACCACTGCCACGTCCTTGTATGACATCACATCTACTGATTACTGCATTACTGCAACTACTTGACTGAGGTAATGCTGCCTCCACCTCACTGATGTAACGCTGCCGCTACATCATACCTGATGGTGTTGTGGTCTCTTCATTACGGCTCCTGCAGTTGATGCGGACGAGATCTGGCGGCTGGGCAAGAGGTTCCGTAAGCTGGACTTGGACAACTCTGGGTTGCTGAGTGTTGAGGAGTTCATGTCCTTACCTGAGATACAACAAAATCCACTTGCCCAAAGGGTCATCGATATAATTGATGCTGATGGCAATGGAGAAATTGACTTTAAAGGTAAGGGATGTGGCACAAGGCTAAGGTAACAAACTAGAGCCTAAGTCTAGATCTTTTTCCTACTATCCCTGCAAATGAGAATACTTTCAGAACTCGTGTAGCTTCTACTGCCAATTTTAGAGTTATATAGTTAGTTTTGCAAGCAATATTAGAGGTCTGGTTGAAGTTCTCAAGCCCATTTTCTTAGTTTGGCTGTGTTATCCAGTCTGCCTCAAAACTCTGAATTTTACTTACCCGTTAATTTCTTCATGAAAACTTCAGAAAACGTATGCAGCAATGTGTGGAATGTGAAGGTCGACATTTGCCAGATACACTATTTAAACCATGTAATTTATAAATTCCATTATCGAAACTTTGTGTCAACAAGTATTGATTTGTGATACAAATTGTATGAATTATTGCAGAGTTCATACAAGGCATGTCACAGTTCAGCGTCAAAGGTGACAAAGAGAGCAAGATGCGGTTTGCGTTCCGCATCTACGACATGGACAACGATGGGTACATCTCCAATGGCGAGCTCTTCCAGGTCAATACAGCTCTACTCACATTAAACTCTAGTCTACTGATGTATATTTCTGTTATCAGGAAGGCTGTACTTCCATTAATATTTGTGAAATCAGAACTCCTTCAGCCAATCTCTGACGGCTTAATAAGCTAGACCTACCAATCACAGACAGAAAAATGGCTGCTGTGTAGGCTTAGGCAAGTTTTGATAGTATGACCTCTGTACTTTTAATGCGACGTAGTTTAATGTATTCAAATAAAATTGATTAATTTGTTTGAAGAGCAGAGCAATTTGAGTGCCTTATAACAATTTTTCTTTTTTTTAAGTATATATGGTACTTCCTCATATTTAGATACCATGAACTACAGCTGGTAGGTGTTCTGTATTGCCAATCCTGTTTCAGGCTGTGTTTTTTTGCATTAATTACTAAAACCAAAGCACATGCAACTTTGCTTTGAGCCTTACCATAATTTTCATTTCTGCAGCTCAACTTAAAGAATTTTTCAACTTATAACCATGATGTGTGATTTCTGGATTAAACCTTTTTCTCTACTCGCAAGCCACTGGTGAACAAACACATCGTTAATTTCTAATTATGACATGCAGTTCCTGAAGATGATAATGGGCAACAACTTGGAAGATCATCAACTTCAGGAGATTGTTGACAAAACTATGCTCTTTGCCGACAAGGATAAAGATGGCAGGATCAGTTTTGAGGAGTTCTGCACCGTTGTTGAAAACACAGACGTCCATAAAATGATGGTCGTTGACGTTTAGATGGCGACATTGCGCTCAATGCAGCAAAATTCTTCATCTCGACTCCCTTTCATTGTTGTGATTAGTTCTCTACCCATTTGTTTGGGAAGAGTAACTGCTCGGTTGTTCATTTGCGTATACTTATTTTTGTTGTTAAAGGTAACAGCAATGTTGAACAAAATATTAAAAATAAAATTGTATCCAGTCGGATTAACCGTTTTTCATTATCTCAAGTAGGTTGTCAAATTATCATATTATCAGAACAGTAAACAAACAATGTGAAAGAATTATATGTATATCATAAGCAGTTATAATAAATCTTCATTTCTTTGGTTGTCTTGGATTATTCTGAATTTTTATACTAGCACGCCAATGGTAAGTGTAATGCTTTCCTTTTTTATCAATCACTGACAAAGCGTATGCAGATCGATAGTTTGCATAGTTAGTTGCGTGCATAGTTTTAAAATTTAAACGATGGAATATAATGGCCAACTGAACGTTAAACTTGTGTCACACAAGGAACATCAGCGTTCATCAAAACATTGTACCCTATCATCCATCAACATTCCTTCCTGCATTGAGTCACCGACATCTGGAAAAACCTCTCTGATGACATTAATGACGTTCCGGGTATAAACGCGTTCAATGATACACTAGACAGTGCTATGCAAAAGCATATGTTCAATCTTGGAAGGCCTAGCACCCTACAGAGCACGGAAGCAGTCAAATTCCAGTGATGATATCAACCAACGTCAGTTTAAACATTTTCGTTGAAAGGCCAGTTTTTAGATCCGTGAACAAGTCATGCAAAGTAAAAGAATGAGCGACAGGCCTAACCAGGCCTATTCTTCAACGCCAAATGATATGGCATGCTAGGGCTGATTAGCTCCACTTCTTAAGAGTTGCCTGATCTGGAAGTTGTTTCATAAATATGTTGACTAAAATATTCACTAACAAATTTGCAGCAACAATCAACAGCATTTACAGGATCTTTGTTCATCTAGAGTTTACTTTTCGAGTCTCGCTCCTGAGTTCATGGCAGGTGACCTTGCAGGTTGAATATCCTATATTATCAATTTAACCTCGTAAACTTGAGAGCTATTTTTCAATTTAACCTCGCAAAATTGAGAGCTATTTATTAATTTAACCTCTAAAAACTCCCCGGCAGCGGTCCCATTCCCTTAATTTATGAGCAAACTGGACAGATCGGCACGACGCTGCTAAATAACGCGCTGCATCTCTTGTCTGCTTCCTTGTCTGCCAGCCTCTGAAAAGGACACGACAGTAGGAAAATTTACTTGGATGAATTGAATTTGAATTACTGTGGTTACTTTCCTCAAATGATTTCATCTAAGATGAATTTGTAGAATTAGTTTTGTATAATTTCTTTAGTGCAGACACTGAGTTGAATTTCGTTAAGAAGCCAGATATTCCAAACGATATTGACCAATTTAGGTTTATACCACAGCAAAACGGAGGTTCATACCACAGCAACGGAGGATATTTTATAACGTGAAGAATCTTATTGGAAAAGAGATGCAATATTGACACGTGCTCTGCTACAGAGGATTGAATTCCTGCATCATTAAAATAATGATTACTTGAGCAAGAAATGATCTGACTCACATTGTAGCCGCGCCTCGTGCGTCTCTAATTTTTGTACCGTGATCTTCCTTATAATTTTTTTGCGAGCATTCAACAGTTATTCATGTATTTGTACTGTTAAATTTGTACCCCTTTTTCCATTAATGTTTTTTTGTCTTTCGGTTTTTGTTCGGTTCGGAAAATGTGTGCGTGATATTTGTGAATACTTATATTGTCTTGGGCGGTGTAGAAAATTTGCCGACTGTGTCAGGCACGCTACCGTAACTCCCTTACTTGTTTTAGCAGTTACTGCGTCACTTCCGTGACGTCACTATAGCATGCCTATATAAGCTCTTCGAGCAGACCTTCAGTCAGTCTTAGGCAGGAGGCGAGACGTAGTAAGCCATCACCATGTAGTCCGCACGATCACGCCAGACTCCGGCGTCGAGTAGTCTCCGTCGTTAGAGTAACCATCTCAAACCTACCTTGTATACTTATCACCCAGCTTCAATGTATAACTATCTAGTTCATAAATATATTACTATACAATTCGCCTCTCAATCAACCTGCCGCTTATTCGGACCCTAGCTAAAATACCTTGGACCCTCAACTCATAACCTAAGATCATCCGGTTATTAATCAATACTGAAGATATATTATAATTATATATTATCGGGCCGGTCAGACCAAAACACATTCGGACAACTGCTCCTGTATGTATAATAGTGGAAGTTCTCCGAGTTTATAAATTCTGAAGATATAGGTTAAAAAATAAAGTCTACGTAGCTATATTGTATACTATTGAGAGTATAGGTCCGTTGGCTCGTCTTGGAAATTTCTATCTTCGAGATGCCGTGACTATGAAATCCAACGTGACCATGAGTTCATTGTGACTGGAGTTGTGACTACTAAATTCAACTATGAGTCCAACCAGAGTTCGTACATTAGTCGCTGTGACTTAATAGGCTACGTTGTGCTGTCAACAACAGTGACAACAGTGGAATTTTGTATGGGTCTCGGACCGTATATCACCGTATATCACTATTCGCTGTTCGTCACGGAGACTAGACTGGACTGAATTAATTAATATATACCAGGCTGGCGACGACGCTGCTACTACAGCTAATTAGGCGCTGGCGATGAAGCTGCAGTCTGGACTGATGGGCGTTTGGCGCTCTAAGTTAATCTTTGCTCGCATCTTGAAGCAAATTTTTCAAACTCTAGCTCCTACACCTTATCGATAGGCTGTCAAGGGACAATGGTCTTCGCCTTCCTTTTCGCGAGTCAAACTCGAGCGGACTAAAGACTCCCGGGGCGAACGATGCGAACGAGCTGAGTGGGAAGAGCGTGAAAACGGAGGAAGTGTTGCACCACTCCCCTGTGCCAGACGAGTCTCAATTCGTCCTCGAAATAAACCTATTCGTTCCATGCGAGGATTAACCCACTCCATCAATCCCTTGCATTCGCACGAGTTCAGAAGATTTTCTTCTTTATCAATACGATTTTCAGTGTGTTAGCTGTCAAAATAAGTTCGAATTCACCAGGAAGGTAGTTCAGTCACTCTCCAATCTCATTCCCCTTCTTCGTCACGGCCCAAAGCTTGGCAGTAAAAACGGTAACGTCACACAGTGGAGCATGATGCATTGCTGGTTCTCCTAACTTAGAAGTCCTGTAGTCTTATTTGATTCTGTAAGGTTCATTCGTTCACGAAGGGCTTAAAAACACGAGTTTCCTTGGACATCGTATTAAAATCGGTTTGTGGGAAATGAGCATACTACGTTGAAAATTTTAACGAACTAGAAATTAAGAGCGCCGTAATGCAACAAAATGTAAGGGGCTGAAATTTGCAAAGCAACGCAGTTAGTCGCAAGCGGGTGGATATCAGAGCATCCCGAGATCGCGAAATTTAGTGGGTTTTTCAGCGTGCATGGAAGAATTAGCGATTCGCTAAAATTTGCCGAAGTTTGTGCTTTTGGAGGAGTCAGGTGCCCTAAATATAAGGGACAAATCGTTCACGTAGTCTTAATACTGTCTAGTCGAATGCCTGGGCCTGACATTTAGTATTGGTAAGGCATTCCGAACTCGGGAGAAGAGGAAGGTATTTCGTAGTTCAACCAGCAAGTTGGCACGGCTTATTCAGAAATTGATAAGCACTGCAATGTTTCATAGAATCCCGTTATCCTGAATACCATAT